ATTACCAGGATTATTGCTACATCAAAATGTAATAGTTGAAACGCCTCATGCTACCAATATTCAAATAGAAAGTAAAATGAAATTGAGAAAGAGAAGGAAGGGCCTCCAAAGCCAAAACACATCCTCAAACGAGAAATGGATGGCAAAAAACATGAATACCCTGAATGAAACCTTCTATGCCTCCCACAAAACAAACCACTCTTCGTGGTATATCAACTACTGTGGGCAGCAACATGTACAAAATTACAACATAGTATCAGTTTGTCACAACTCATGGATGAATCATACTTCTGCATAGCAGGAAATATGTAATTTTGCTAATTTGACACCTATGAAGGACCAACAAATTAGATAGGGAAAAAGAAACATTAACTACCTTTTCAAACAAACTGCCACAGATATCGGAGTGAGCTGCTTCGACAATTGGTTGAGGTATGCAGAGCATTACACGCAACCTCAACAAAGCAGCAACATCCTCATCATTGAGCTCCCCAGCGGCAACACATTTCTGAAGCTTTTGCCGATAAATTTCTTAAAAATAATAAATTATCATTAGATTCTGTGATAAAGAAGTACATATAATATAAAAAAGACAACAGTCGCATCATGTAAAAAGTTAATTGTCTCAACAACTGAGAAAGCAGAAACAAAATAGAATATTACATTACAAGTTAACAAGCATAAGATTTAAGAACTGCACATAAATATAAACTGACAGAACGTAGAATGTTTAATAATCCAAGCCTTCAAATATGATCAACTTCCAACTAACTGTAGATCTGACAAGTTTTACCTTCATGAAGTTCACCGGCCTTTTGTGGATCAAAATGAAGTTCATCACATAGATTTTGAAGGAAGGCTGCTTTGCTATCTGCCATTTCTAACTCACCCTCTGAAGCAGCCTGTGCAAGTCGCTTACGATATACCTTTGACGTAACTTCGAGTGAAATGGCTTCTGCTTCACGTTTACCCAGTCCAAATATATTCCTTAACTGATTTAGTGCAGCAAGCTGAAATGAAATATAAATATGATTAGAATATATTCATTTATATTAAAAAAAAATGTGTTTTGACAGGTCAGGTTTCATATCTTATATCAATAACAACTCTTCATAGTGATAGATATCATGGTTTTTGACACATTATGTGTCTTTGCTCATCTGAATGTTCACTTATGAAAGGAAGATTAGAGAACAGGTGTAACTATATTCAAAGGGGAATCTTATGCTAGTACATCTTAAAGGTCGACAAACCACCTCACCTAAAAGCTTGAAATTGTTAGTGTTAAGCAAGAAGCCAGGACATTGTCTTATAACACTAAAATGTTCCAATAAGTGAAAATCCAGAAGGCTTAAAACAGTAGACAAATACCTTGTTTAAAAATAAATGCTGCCCAAGCAGAAAATTTAAAATGAGATTAAAAGCAATAAGATATGATAGCATGCACTGAACAACCTGTTCAATCATGCTTTGGTAGGTACTATATCAAAAAGAAAGATAAAAAGTAAGAGACAATAAAGAATGACCATTAAGGATAAACTGCTAGGCTTCAATCTCTATTAAATCCATGGGAAGTGTTGGAAGCCAAATTGGTGACAATAAGAAACTATGAATCATCAATACATAGTCATATTATAGTACCATTCATTTTGTCCAAATATAAATAGCTGTTGGAGCTAAATATTCCTCCTTTATTTGAAAATAAATTATTTAATCAGACATACATCTGGAAAACACTAACCCAAACTCAACTACAAAATAAATTAGTTTATTCAGAAAATACATGTTAACAAGTCCACAGTTCATATTTGATTGTCATGGCCAATTACCTTATTATCTTCCATGCGCCCACCAGACAAAGAATCTGTAACATAGGCCCTGTAGAGGAGTTTCAAGTCCTCTATCTTTCTGTCACCACCATACTCACCACCTATGCCAAAAATGGATTGTGGTAAACTTCAAGAAATTAGATTAAGATGAGAAAATAACATTATATTTTATATATATACACACACACACCTAGTCACAACACTTACCCACTAAAGAAACAGGACCAACACCACGAGCAAAGCGATCCACATCTGGATGATTCTTAAATGAGATGAGTAAATTATTAAATGCCAATACCCTATCAAGCTCTGCAACTGCTTCGCTAACTCCAGGACTGAAAAAGTTAAAGATTATCATATGGAAAAATTCTACTTTTGCTGCATTTATGGAAATTAAGAAATTAAAAGTAACACTAATGAAAGAAATAGCAAGGAAAACAGACCCAGAATTCAAATTTTAACATAGAATGGAACAATCTTGGTTCAGTAATTAATGAAAACCTGCAATGACCTGATCCCTCAAAAAAAATATTTTAAGCCAGAAAAACTATGAATCTTACACTGCTCTGCCACGAGATTTAAGTATGCCAATTGCCACTGAAATATTTTCCTCAACCAATTTCCTTGCATGCTCTCTAAACAAGTTCTCAGCAAGCTTCAATGGAAAAATTCCTCTAATTAATAAAAAGATTATACTATAGCAACTAGCAAGGAACTATTTGGTGGCAAGACAAAGGGGTTTACCCCAGAAAAATTGAAAGTTATGAAAGATGAAATAATGAAAGTGAACCTCATCTGAAAGGTGACATAAACGTTGTGTTTCTCTTAGTGCAACAAGTTGTTCTGCATTGATATCTGGCAAAAAATTATTGTTTAGCACTTAGGAAGCAAACCCGATTTAAAACTTCTAAAATTTGCTATATAAAGAATTTGTTAGTTTGGATAATAGTAATTGTAGAGAATTACAGAATAAAATCCATCAGATCAGATGAATACAAGCAAAATCTTAAGGCTTTATTTAATAAGAAATGCATGACCAATTACAAAACAAAAATATCATTTACAATCATTTCTCCACCTATATACATTGGACTGTTAAAATTGTGCCAAGAGTTAGTTTATCAACTTTGTTACAGTAAGAGCAAACAAAGGCCAAGAGGAATAGCTGACTACACAATTACCTCTGCCAACTGATTTCAGCTTGGAAGCATACAATCGTTGCGCATTGTCACGTACAGCTACTTCAATCTGGCAAAAAACTTATAGCCGATTATTAAATGAAAAAAACAACATTAACACCTATACCGAATGAAATGACAATGAGGACATATAAAATTAATTTCATAAGCATGAAAAAATGCATTTCGCATGGAAAATTAGTTCCCTTTTCAAGCAAAAGCCTGTACAAAATTATAAACCTATGCTTCAAAACTCTCTGCCCAATATCACATTGCATAAGCCAGGCATACCAATTAACAAGTAATAAGTACCTGGGAATCGGTGACCTTAAACACACGCTTCCAAGGTAGAAGGAAAGATGATGCATCCCCAAATACAAGATTTGACACATATATCAACTTTTGAAACGCCTGCACTGGAGACTCTAACAATGGTCAAGCTCCAACCTCCAAGTATTTGCTATTCATCCAAACCCCTGATGGTATTTCCACCAATCAGTTAAAATAACATTACACCACAACTAACTTACCCGGCGTTGCTCAACATCGGCGTCCCGATCCCCAACTTCTAGCCTTTGTCTGAAAAATTTCCTCCCAATCTAGGAAGTTAAGAAGCACCAAACCAGTAAGATACGAAACTTTCACTCCTTATAATAAAACACACTAAATCTACACTGGTAATCAGGCCTATATACAACAAACAAACAAGAAATACCTCCATGTGCATAGCAGCAGCATCTGGGTCATCAATTCCCAACGAATTTTTGAAGCTGACTATCCTATCAACCTCATCACCTTTAAGTTCCTCACCACCAGGAGGAAGCACAGAAGTTACAAACCTAAACAACATGCCATACCGCAAATCAGTCATTCAATGAAAAAATTATACAGCCATATCATTATAACTCATTACCACTACACAAACAACAACAACAACAATTGACATTCTCTCGGAATATACTTCACAAGTTCCAGCTTTAATAATAAGAATTTATCACTCACTCGGAATATATATCACAAATCTCAGCTTTGAACGCCTCATCCTGCTTGTTCACACCATACCTGTCAAAAAAAACCATTTCAAAACCAATCACTCTAATTAACCCAAACAAAAACAGGAACCGTTAGTATTAGCAACCGAAACTAACTTCGTTGCGATGGCCTCAATCTCCTCCTTCTTCAGCTTCGCAGGGTCATCAAACGCGGCGACGTAGTTGTGCAAATTCACAGCGGCGACCTGCGGAGCAGCCGCGTTGAGAGCGAACGCTGCGGCGCCACCGGCGGCTCCGAGTGCGACGGCGCCACCTATCGCGGCGTAGCGGGAGGCGCCAAAGCGGGAGCCGAGGCCGTAGCCGGCGGCGACGGCGCCGGCCACGAGGACGGCGGAGGTGGCGAGTCTGGCGGGCGGCGAGAGCTTGTCGACGAGGACTTGGATTCCCTGGAGGTCCTTGGGCGCTCGGTGAGGCGGCGGCGGCGGTGGCGGAGGAACGGAGGCGGCGTCGGAGGAGCAGCGAGGGAGGGAGACTCTGAAACGACGGCGTCTGGAGTGGAAGGGAGAAGAGGGTAAGAGGAGTGGGCGTTGGGTGTGGGAAGGAGTGAGGGTGGAGGGGTTCATGGTTGTTGAGACGACGTCGTAAGAAGAGTAGAGTGGTGTTGTTGTTATAGGGTTTAACGAAAAGAGTGAGAAGATAAAGGGCGAGGATTGTAGATATTAGATAACGTCGTTGTTATTGGGCTATGCCTCCTTTCTAAAGGAAAAATTAAACATTGCATACGCATGGGTGCTAAATAAATATTCACAACTTCTAGGTATTCTTCGCTATTATGACAGAGTATGTGGGTATCTCTGCAAAAGAATTAGGACTGGCACGGTTTTGGATAGGTCCATTATCAGATGGATCCAAAGTCCACACCAATCAGAATAGAATCCCAAAAAATTCAAAAAAAATAATACCAACATCTTATTATTTTTCTTCGATCCTCTATTCTTCAACCCTTTAAATTGGAGACAGAGACCCAAAATGGAGAAATTTATCTAACCCTTTAAATTGATCGTTTAAAAAACAATTCTTTAAGACTGAGAACAGATGTAAAAGTGTGCTGAGTGAAGAGTAAGAACGATGGTTAAAAATTGATAATCTAGTCGGTGTTGTGAAGTGCGAAAATGGGTAGTTGGTGTTTGCGAGTGCCACTGTTTCCTATGCTCAAAAAATCTGTCTTTACATTCACACCAGCTATGGGGAAGAGGAGGAGGACACGGTTTGAGTTCCATTGTTGCTGTTATTGTTCGTCTTCCCAGTCATGGCAGCCTTCTCGCAAGAAAAAGGTCGCTATGCGCGTTGCCTACGTTGGCACCAATTACCGAGGTCCCATTTTCCATCATGATTGATTCTTCTTCAAACCAACATTCTCCTACACAGATACATGCCCTCATGTCTCATGTCTTGTTTGTTCATTCAGGTCTCCAAATGCAAACCGATCAACATTCAATCTCCAGTACGCTTCTTTGCCTTGTACTCATTGTTATCTATCCATCCATGTGTGGGGTTGAAAAGAAATAGAAGATTGCGCTCCAGATATTGTGCTTGGAGTCTAAGATGTTTGTAGAAATGCACCAACTGTACTAACTTCAGTTGACACAAGCAACGACTTGTGTTCCTTAAAAGCAAATTGTTCAAAATTCGAATTGTAATCTTTGGAATGAAATAAAGTATCTTAGTAGGAAAATATTCGTATTTACACGATTACCATAGTTACCAAAAAAAAATTGCACTAACTGTTGGGGAAATGAAAGTTATTTGAGAAACTCTGTCCGACTAGTTTATCCAAAATTTTATTTTTATCTTATGTATAAATTAGTTTTAATTTATGGAAAAATTTATTTCAATTTTATTTTCCTCTTATAGAAGTGATACCGAAAAAGTTTATTCAATCATACCCTTAGTAAAGAATTTGTTATTTTAAATCTTTTACTATTTGTGAAACAGTCAATCTATTGTCCACACATAAGTTATTAATATAAGTATTGTCTAGTCTAGAAGTATTGGCTATACATCCTCTAACACAATCTTTGTTATGCATTTTTTTATTATAGATTAAAAATTTATTAAAATTACAAAATTATGATCGAAAGTCGTTAATAAAAGTGAGACTCACAATTGTATGATTTTCAATAAATTTCAGCTAATAATAAAAAACATGTTTAAAAGAGTATGTTATAGACATTTCTTTTGTGGGTTCTAGTGGTATATTGTAGGGTACCCGTGGTTCAATCTGCCTAGCTAGTTTGGATAGACTGGTTTTGAAGTGTTGTGATTTAAAAAATGTAGCTATTGAGAAAGAACTTGAAACTGCTATATTCAAGGCTGGTGGCATTCGTGAAAGTAATTTTGGGGATCTGCAGAAGATTAGATGGGCCAGAAGCAGTCGGACTGACAAAGGAGTAATCTCATTGTTTTGATTTATTTTGGTTACTATTCTGATTTTGGTGCATATGCAGCCAGAGTGACATTGCTTATTTCATCCTGTTTAATGTTGTGTATATATTAGGTTCACTCTCTTGCAACCATCATTTCCTTTAAAATGGAAATCCCAGAAAATGCTTGGAATGGAGACCCTTATGGTTTTTCCCTTGCAAATTATGTTAATTCTCATCTTCCCTGGGATATCAAAGTTTTGAGCATTTTGCCCTCACAGAGGTAAGGCTTGGAACTGTGCATGTGAGTCAGTATTCATAATTCAGAGTGATCTCTGAAGTGTTATGTCTGTTGTGAAAATTATAATTTTTAATGATAATGTACTGTATATTTATATGTCAATTGTTAATGATAGACTTTCAAGTTTCTGCTGCTCTTTTCTCCTGCTCTTTAATCATTCAATGTTTGTGTCTTGGATCCAGGAGCTTTGGTCCCAGGAAGGAATGTGTTTTTCGGAAGTATTCCTACCTTCTCCCTGCTGATATTATTGGTATTAAAAGCCATTCCAGCAATGATGAAATTGACTACCACATATCAGAGTTCAATGATATTCTTAATGTATTTGAGGTAGGGTATTCTAGTCTCCTTTTTGCCCCCTTATCGTTAAAAACCTTCATTTAATTTGGTTCTTAGATACTGATTGTATAATTTGTATTAGTTATGAAACTTTGTTATGAACATTTTTTTCCATATTTTAGGACCATTTTGGATAAATTTCTCCAAAAGCAGGAAAAATGAAATAATTTTTTCAATAAGCTAATTTGTAGAAGTTTTTTCCTTTTAGTCTTCAAAATCTTATTTTTAACTTATAAATAAACTAGTTTTAATTTATGGAGAAATTTATTTCTATTTTTCTTTCTATTTTTTTCTCCTAGAAGTGCTTCTAGAAATGCTTATCCAAACACGCCCTTAGTTAATTTATGATGGCTCATATGAGAATTTATGTATCACATTATTGTCTTTGTACTAAAAGTTTTGTATGGATCGAAAAGTCAATACAAAAGCATAACACAAGCAAGACTTTGACTGGTTCTTCCTCTTGCAGTTACCAGTTTACGTACTTTTTGGAAGTATGCTAGAAATTTTAGATTTATGATGAAATTAGGGTCAGGTTTTCTCATATTTTGTGTTGTTTCTCTGGTGTTTATGGACATGTTTAGCTGGAGAATATTTGCATTTCTTTGTGATGTGAAATGTCAGTTACTATCTATAATTGCCTTTCATAGGGGGAACATCCTTTCCATAATTATACAGCTCGGTCCAAGTACAGGAAAAATTTTCCTCATAGGCAGTCATCACCAAAGAGTGACAAATCAGAAAGTGAGAGTTTGTTACCATATGCATCTGACTGTGAGTACAGTGACGGGGAAGAAAATTCTGAAATTGATGAGGCAATTACAGAGAATATAGCGTGCCAAAGTAAAAACTGTTCTGAAACTCGTCATTTTGGTGAGCCTGTTGTTGGCTCTAGCAATAAGAATGGAAATGGTTTGCTTGATCAAGATTCTAAATTGGTTGCTCGTGCAAGATGGTTATATGAACCTGATGAAACAGACAGATTAAGTGCTTCCCATTTCAGAAAAGTTTTTCAGTGTTCTTGTGGAAAGCTGAAAACATCACTGGGATATAATTACATAGAAATCTCAATAGAGGGAGAGTCCTTCATGCTGCATCAGGTGCTTCTTTTTTTCTCCCCCATATTATTCTTCTTTAAAACACTAGAATGCATATTTTGCCCCCTTTGATCCTAACAATTTATCACTTCAATACTTAATCACGTAGAATGTATTTCCTAGTTGGAAATTTCAATGATGTTATTTGAGTACTTAATATGAATGTTGATATTGTGACAACTGATTAAGTTACATATACTGTTGCAATAAATCTACCTTTTTGTTTGTTACAATCCAGCTATTCAGTAATGAACAAATGAACCTGTTTGACAATACTAACCTCTATTTTATTGTTTTATTGTGTCCTAATCTGTGTACCCTTAAATTAGATCATCCACCGTCATTTTGTTCGCTACTTTGGTATTGAAATAAATTGGTTACATATATGTTGCTGCCTTGTTTTTCATAATCATCATGATATGACATTTTTTACTCTCACCAGATAAGAAAAATGGTTGGGACAGCCGTGGCAGTGAAGCGCAAGTTACTGCCAAAAGACATTATAAAGCTGTCACTGGCAAGGTTCTCGCGGATTATTCTTCCCCTTGCACCTTCAGAAGTTCTAATATTATCAGGAAACAGATTCTCAATTAGAACACGACCAGGCAATGTAACAAGGCCTGAAATGCGGACAATAGTTGAATCAGAAGAAATTAATAAGGCAGTTGACGAATTTTACTCATCAGTTATGCTACCTCAAGTTTCAAAATTTTTGGACCCATCAAGATCTCCTTGGGAAGAATGGATTGAGAAACTGGATGCTCACACAAGCATACCAAATGATCAGTTGGATGACGTCAGGAAGGCTTGGAATTTGTTAAAAGAAAATTTGGAAAATACTATTAAGCACTCATCCGTGGTGAGTGAAGGAAAAAAGGTGACGATTGCTCTTCTATTCTGAATTTGGTCACTTGACATGCCTTAATTTAAGTTTCCATTGGATAACCCTTGCATTCTTTTATTTTATTATATGGATAAGGAGTTCATTCTTATGAAAAATGTTAGTAATACTTTCTCTAACACATACCCTCTAACACATTTTATTGCTAATAATTAGTTAAAATTTATTAAAAACTAGAAAATCAAGAGAGGGGATCATTAAATAAGAAATGAGACCTAAAAAAATGTAATTTCCCACAAATTTTTCAGCTAATAATGGAAAATGTATTCAAAAAAGTGTGTTGCTGACATTTCTCTTTTTATATTTGTTCTAATTGTTAATTGTTATTGTAGTTTTTCTTCTTATCCTTTCACTTAATATGCCTTGACCAAAGCTTCCATTGGCTAGCACCTGCAGTTTTTTATCCTCCCCTTGCTGTTCTGTGAAGAAGGAATTTGTTCATACTTTTGTTCTGACTGTCATGTACTATGTAGGTTTGAAGGGTAAATAGAATTTGGAATTTATTCATCCTACCTGGCCTTGGATTTATCAATGGACAATCATGCTTTCTCAATGCTTGGAATTATGGAAGAATTTGGCTTGAAAGATGTGTTTTAATTAACTGGCTTGAATGGCCTGCCGCATTTGGAAATGATTCTTCAGGAATTCATCAAATTGAACATCCAAGCAAAGATATGATAACTTTAGAGGCTGACAAAATTCACTAGTCAACATTAACTTAAGCTACAGCTTCCACAAACACCTACAGACAATAGTGATTTTGTAGGCTTTGTATTTGCTACGGGCAATCATTTACTGTCTGAAATGGACGTATACATTCCATATCGCATTGTCATTCTTACAGTCTCACTGTATGCTTAAAATATACCATAGATTGTGTGATATATACTAATTTTTGGGCTCAGATAAACCTTTCTGGTTTTTGTTTATTTACTTATTTATTATGAGAGTAGTATAAACAAGAAAGTTCAATTTGAACTTGCTTTTCCAGAATTCCTGGTAGTATGTAAGTTCTTTTATGATCTCCAGTGGTAAATGATGCTAATGAAATTAAACATATACTAGTATAAGTTATAGCATCTGATTATGGTATGGTTAGACCTGTGATTTTGTTGCTTTGTATCGATTGCTGTGTAGACAATATTATGAAAAGAAAAGTAAATAAAAATATAATTGTATTTATATCTTTAGTAAGGTCTCACTTTCCTTAGCCCAAGAGGGAAATACTAATTCTAAGCATGAAGATGATGTTTGGTACTAAGAATAAACTTAATTTTTCGTATCTTTACTCTAATTTTTTTATCTAATTCTAATAATTAACTGAAATTTTGTTGGCTACCGAATTCATCCTGGGTATTTCAATATTCAATCTTGACTGAAAACATGTATAATTATTATTATTTTTCCTTCATTGACGTGTATTTTTTTATTTGGTTTACTGAACCAGTCAAAAATAGTACATCGGTCTTCTTTACTTATAACGTGTTTGCTCTGTAAGTGAATTCCAGTCTTTTATTTGTTCATACGGTTCAGTTAGACAATAATCAGAAATGTAATGACAAATAAACTGAAATTAAATAAAAAGAAGTGATATATGAAATAAAATGATTTTATTTTATAATTATTTGAACAATTTATGATAAATTAAGTAACTTTTCGTTTCAGTATTTAGGAAGTAAATGAAACAAAATAAAATTTTCGTTTTGTTATTATTTTGTTTTTGACAAATTTTCGTTTTATTATTTCGACAATAGATGAAATACGAAGGAAATGAGTGAATATAAGTTCCCGCCATACCGAAATTAAAGAGAAAAAGAAAATCAACTATACAAAATGAAAATAAAATTAAAAATATTAGATGGATATAAAATGCATTATTTTATTCCTTTATTTTATATATATAGAAAATTTTCACGATATCAATTGATTGATTTTCTTTCTGTCAAATCATTTTGTATTTGGTTCCTTTTCATTAAGCCCTGTTTGTTTCAGGGGATTTACTATTCACGACGAACGAAAGGTGAAGAAATTTGATGTTTGTTTCCGCTGATTTGCACCGAAAAAAAAGTGAAGAAAAGCGGGAGAACCCGCGTGGCCGTTCCTCGCAAAGTTGTGAAGAAAAGAGATGAAAGTCACGTAAGAAATGAGAAAACCCGATAATACCCCTGCCCAAAAGCTGAAAATAGATTAAGCTCTGCCATGCTCATGCATGCAGAGACTGTGCCATGCAGCAGAGGTTCATTTCTTTATGCTTGAGGGAGGGTAGTCGAGGTATGAGAATGAAGAATGGAGGGCAAACCGCGGTGAAAAACTGAACCCCCAGCCAGCATAATCGATTATGCATGACACATAATCGATTATGGTGGCATATTTTTGCTTCTAGTCGTGTCCAGAATGGGCCATTCCAAACTACTAAAATAAGGGTAATTTAGTAGCCTAGAACGGGCCGTTCCCAAACTGGAACAGGTCGTTCCCAAACTGGAACGGGCCGTTCCAAACTACTAAATTGGCTTAAAAACCTTAGTTGAGAACAGACCGTTCCAAATTGGCTGTTATCGGAAAAAATGCAAATTAGAAAATATAATTATCATAATATATTTTGTTATTATTATTTATTATTATAAATATTATTATTATTATCATTATTATTATTATTATTATTATTATTATTATTATTTATTAT